AAGTTTGTTATGATTCTAATTGAAATGTAAACGTGAATTATGATTGCATTAAGTGTCTAAAATTACAAAATATCAAGCCCTTTATATAGGCATACAATGCCCAGGCCTAATTCGACTATATACAAGCTATAGCCTAAAACTTCTACATTTCGACATACTGCAATAGCTACTGTATTTGACTATGTCAAATATAACTTACAACCTATTCAATTAGCTATTCGACATACACCATATATCTTTCAACAACTTGACTGAACAAGAATTATAATTTCTAACACACCCCTTATTTCATGTTCTCGAGACTTCTCATCCTGGTGATTCTCTTTAACTCGTCGAATCTGAATTTCTTCAGAGGTTTGGTAAATATGTCAGCTAGTTGCATTTCTGTCTTGCAATGCTTTATCTCCAACTACCCTTTGTTGACTTGATCCCTCAGAAAATGATACCTCATTTCTATGTGCTTACTTCGGCAATGACACACTGGATGATTCGCCAAGTCAATAGCTGACTTGTTATCGACAGATAACTTTATCTTCTTAGGTTCCATTATCTCGAGTTCCTCAAGTAACATTTCGATCCATGCTGCTTGGCATGCAGCATATAATGCTGCCACATATTTTGATTCGCATGATGACAAAGCCATAATGCCTTGCTTCCTTGAACTCTAAGATATTGGAGTACCTTCAATCATGAACATGTATCCTGCAGTGCTTTTATTTTTGTCTTGATCTCCACTAAAATCTGAGTCAGTGTATCCACGAACTTTGACATATGTATTATTCATCGACTTCTTTGGCAACAACACACCATGATTAACTGTTCCCTTTATTTATCTTAACACCTTCTTTACCGTAATGAGATGACACTCTTGGGGTTTATCCATAAATCGACTCAAAAATTTGATACTTTGACAGATGTCTGGTCCAGTATTGCAAAGAAACCTCAAGGATCCAATAATTTGTTTGTATAGGATCAAACTTACAAACTCATCATTCGTTTCCTTTTTCAACTTTGCTCTAGTTTCTAATGGAGTGACAGTTGCATTGCAGTTGCTCATATTGAACCTCTTCAATATATCTTTGGCATATTTCGTTTGATGCAAGAATACTCATTCTTCAGTATCTTTGAATTACATCCCTAGGAAGTATGAGAGATTCCCTAAGTCAGACATTTCAAATTCCTGCATTTATTATCTCAGCTTCATCTGCTCCTGTAATGAGTAATTCATCAACATAGAGACATACAATTATTCAACTGACACTGTTGATATCATTTACATACACTTCATGTTCAGAGACACACTTTGTGAAACCTGCTTCGATCAGGAAGCTATCTATTCTCTTATTCCAAGCTCTAGGGGCTTGTTTCAAACCATAGAGAGCTTTCCTTAATCTATAAACTTTTGACTCATGCCATTTGATGTTGAATCTTGGTGGTTGAGTAACATATACCTCTTCTTCCAATGGACCATTCAAAAATGATGACTTTACATCCAACTGATGTATTTTCCATCCTCTATATCCTACTTTGGAAACAACAATTCTTATTGTTTCTAGCCTTGCAACATGCACATAGACTTCGGAAAAGTCGATACCAGGTTTTTATAGAAAACTTCTTGCCACCGATCTTGCTTTATACTTCGTGATCTCAGCATTTGGCCTTCGTTACACCCTGTAGATCCATTTTACATTAATTGGCTTCTTATGAGTTCTTTTGACAAGCTCCCAGGTATTGTTCTTCTCAATAGCTCTGAGTTCTTCTTTCATGGCTTCACACCAATTCAAATTACTCATGGCTTCATTCAAGTCAATCAGTTCTGCTTCAGCCATCGTCACGAATTCTTAGATTAAATCATCATCTGTGAAATTCTGGCAACAGATACTCAATGTCACAGTGAATGTTATGACACCATATCTGACACACTTCAAGACAGTAATTTTAAAAGCAGTAAAGAACACAATTAATTGTTTACCCAGTTCAGTGTGTAACAACACCTACTCTGGGGGCTACCAAGCCAGAAAGGAAATGCACTATAAGAGATATTAATTTAGGAATAAACCAACCATTTTATCTCCTTCACTTAAGACCTACCTAATGCAACTTCAATCTAAGTTCAACTTAAACCTGAGTTCCCGCTCACTCCCCCTCAATCACATCAGTGATACTAAACTATTGATTAATGAAATTATGAAGATACTCTTCAGTACACACACTTGATTTTGCTTCACAGCTTTAATCAAGTGACAAACACTCTTGCTTCAAATCTTTGAGTGATACACAACCCTAACTTGACTTTGCTTCAAAGCTTTAATCAAGTGACACAAACACTCGTGCTTCAAAGCTTTGAGTGATACACAACCCTTACAATCAAATCCTACTCCAAGTCACTTATCACAATGATAACTGCTTGGCTCATAGTAGTTACAACTATACAATCCCTTATTGATCTTCTGTCAAAAGGTGTGCTTCACCAACAGTCTTCATGATAAGTATATAGGCAGCTATTCTTCAGTTAGGGTTTCCACGAAAATATCTAGGGTTAATTAGAGTTAACCTCAAGACTTGGTCATGGGTCTTTAACAACCAGATTAGGGTTAAGCATAGTTAACCTAATGTCCACGTGAGTATCTGATCTGGACTGTATAAACCAGATTCCTGAAAATTCTCAGGAATAATAAATCTGCACAAAAGTTAGATCAGTACAGGATGTCTTAACATTGGTTATGACAACAAGAATCCTGTTCACTGATTTTGGTAGAATGCAATAAATATGATCATTGCTTAATGATCAGCTATACACTCATATTGAGTAGCTTCTGTATGACATTCTTTTTCTGCAGAATGTATCTTGTATCCCAGAATGTTATGACATCAGTCATGACATTCACAAAACTCGTTTTACCAAAAAAATGCCAACAACCAAACACTTACAAACTCCCCCTTTGGCAATTTTTTGGCTAAAACCCCTAAACAATCAGAGATTAGAAAGCAGCAGAATTTTTTAATAACATCTACCAAGTCTAATTCTACCAAAATTATCACAAAATCTTCTCCCCCTCTTTAGCCATAAATAGGCCAAAGATACTTGTACTTTTAAGTTATACAGTCCTCCAAAAGGAATAATAAAAACACAGAGAAAAATCAAAAGTCATTTGGCAGCAACAGGTACCAGCAGCAAACTTTTCAACAACACTGATCTTCAAGCACTGTCATCTTCCGAGGAGGCACTATCTTCAGCATTATGCTTGTCTTCATCAGCATCCTCTTCCCTTCTTTATCCTTCATTCTCCTCCTATTCTAGTCTAGCAATCAGGTCCTCAATAGTCCTTTTCCTTGTATCAAGCTCTTTGCAGGTTTCCTTCAGCACAACTATAACATCAGTTTTCTTTGAATGAGATTTGACAGTTGATGTCTCAGCAGATGTCATAATAATGTCAGGGACATGTGTTCCCTGAAATAGCTTATAGTGCAAACCAAGAGCAGGGGCTCTTTTGCATACAGTATCTTTTTCAACTAGAATATCAGGATACTGAGCAATGACTATACCACACAGGAGAGAGGGAAAGGCAATAGGGCCTTTAATAACACAGCTTCCAAAATGTTTCAATGTTTGATCAAAGATATACTTGCCATATTCAAAGTTTGTCCTGGTTCCAACAACATAAATAAATCTTCCCAAGCCTGTGGAGATGGTTGATTTATGGTTGGTGGGGACCCAGTTAGCTGCACCAATTTTGTGCAGAATGGCAAACTTCATGCTTAGCTTGCTTGCATTCAGCTTCCCTTTTAAGGGCCAGCTCTTGACTTGATTTGCAATGATGGTTTGACAAACTTGGTTGTCAGTAACTTCAAGCTCAGGGCAAGCATCATCAGGTCTTCCTAGGAATTTGTTTATTTCAGAGGGAGAGAAATTTACCTTCCTTCCTCTCACATACACATTCTTAAAATCAGCTGACTTTCCATCAGCACACCCATCAGATAAATTTACTATGAATTATTTGACAAGAATATCATAGCAGTTGGTAAACTGTATCACAATTTTCATTAGACCAGCAGTCTTGATTAGATCCATGATCTCCTTACATTCAATGGCACTGTTGTTCAACTCTCTTTCCAAGGCAATCCTTTTTAGAAATAAATACTTCCACCTATTTGCATTTTCTGGATGGTGAAAGGAGATGTTGTCAATGGCAACTTCAGGGACTTTAGGCATTTTGCTCGAAGAGAGTTTCTTTCTGAGAGGAATGTCTGGAACATGGCTCTCAACATCAAACTCAAATTCTGATTCCTCATCAGATTCAGAGGGTTCAGGGTCCTTCCTTTTCTTGGCTATTGGTTGTATCAAAGGTTTTGAGAGACTACCAACAGGTACTCTAGTTTTCACCTTCCCCTTCTCTTTTGACAATCCAGCCTTCTCAGCTTCTACTCCAGTCTTGTTCTCAGACCTGGTTTTCTTATGAACAACTTCAGTAGCCTTCTCTTTGGAGAGGCTTTTGGCAGCATCCTGCTTTCCTTTTCTGTTCATCATCCTTCTAACTATGCTAGGGTTGATTTTGGAAATTAAATCACTGTCAGAGTATTCTTCATCAACATCAATAACCGGGGGTTCAACATCCTTTGTCAGTAGGGTTCTGGTGATCATCATGATTTTCAGGAGATTTCCTAATGTTGTCATCAGGTGTCTCAACATTCTGAGTGACATCTGGATTCATTTCAACATTTGGACTAGCAGATTCTTGGTTCAAAGGTACATAAATGCCAGGTACAGAGTGATTCTCATTTAGAATCCTAGTGACTAGTCTAGCTATAGCTTGATGAACATAAACAGAACCTTCCCTATTTGCTATTTCTGGAGGAACAGAAGATGATGGTTGAGAAGAT